CATTAGTATTTATAGTGGCAACCCCCCCTTGGCAGTGTATTGTGTGTAAAGGTGGAGCTGGTGTTTAGTGTGTTTTACACAGAATCACAGGGAGGGGGCAGCCTGCTTTATAATCCAACCCCAATGTCAGACTGAATTTCCTGTGGAGAAAGTTTAGAATTTCTAGGATATAGGCCTAACAAAAACAACAACAAAAAATATGAAAACCTGCAATGTGAGTCATGAAAAGGTACACATATATACATCATCACTGCACCTCTATATCACCATAATAAATGCGAATCACTTACAAAATGTGGAAATGGACTTTAAGACACTCAATTAAGTGTCTAGACAAAGGAGATGGATAGCTCAAGTATTCATCTATTTATGGCGATCTTCAATGCTTTATGATTCTTGGTATCTGAATACGCATTTACTTGTAAGTTTTGGACTAGATACTTCCTTTCTATTTTAGATCAAGCTTGAGTATGAACTTTCACTTCCACAAAACCAGCATGCATCAGTAGATGCTACTTCTATAAATTATATTTGAACACCCAACACACCCCAACACAGCGGAAATTTTTGTGTTTTTTAATAAAAGTTTATTTTAGGTGTTGCATCAAAAATCATTAAAAAGTATTTGCCGGCGTATAAGGCGACTGGGTGTATAAGACGACCCCCTAATTTTCCACGTAAAATATAGGTTTTGGGCTATACTCGTCATACAAGACTACCCCACTTCCGAGGCAACACCATTTAAAAACATCATGGATGGATGTGCGGTAATACTGTATGTACGGTAGCTTCGGCTACATACAGTATACAGCGCTGAGCCAATCACGGCGAGCGATGTATTCTATTAATGAATACAAAGCCTGCTTTGATTGGCAGAGGTTGTGTACATCGCTCGCCGTGATTAGCTCAGCTCGGTATACTTTATGTAGCCGAAGCTACTGTACATACAGTATTGCCGCACATCCAGCGGGCTGACAGATTAGGGATGTTAGTTTTGGGCCCCGCGTATAAGACGACCCCTGATTTTCGGGGGATGTTTTTAAGTATAAAAAGTAGTCTTATATGTGAGCAATTACAGTATATACTACATATCTCTCTAACCTGAAGGTGACACAAAGGAAGCTTAGTGCATAAGGTGAAGTTCTGCTGACTTCCATCATCCAATTAAAGCTTTTTTTCTTTTTTCTTTTCCTTGTACATGATCGAGTTTTCTTTGCAAGTACATGTTCATTCACTAAATTATGGGAACATTTCTTTGCAAAGCAATTAGCCGATTTGTCTTTAGTAGATCAATCCTTTTGTGCCAACCCGAGAGCTTGCTGTAAAATTCTGCATTTTTACAGCTGTATTACATTTTTATAATTTTTTTATATTTAAACTAGAATTTTTTAATGCGTATTCCACAATTCCTGTTCCTACCTGATAATTTGAAACTATAAAAACTATTTTGAACATCCCTGCCAATAAAAAGTGATTGTACTCACAGAATCACAGCTTGTGTTGAAACAAGTAGCAGTGTCCACATCTGGTTAAGATCACATGTCTTGTGAATCAATGAACCTCATTTATAGGTGGGAAAAGGGGGCTTTTAAATCGCCTACATGAACCACAGGTTGGAGGAAAAAAAAAAACATACCTGAAGGTTTATGCAAAGTGTAATTGCAGATTTCATCATTTACAGGGCTTTTTTTTTATTTAATTTTTGGAAGGTTTAACATTTATACCTGTCCAAATCCAAATGAACAGAAAGTAATGACTTTATCATCAGGTTAAGTAATTTCTCACCAACTTAAACTACAGACCTCCTAAGGCTGACTGGAGCAGTACATGCAGGCGAATGCCTAGCATTTGAAGTTAAGTATAACATCTTAAACACATACAGTAGCAACAGTGAATTCATTTTGGGTAATAAAAATGCATATCCCAGTTGTTTTAATCCAATCAATTTCTTGCACTGCATGTAACAATTAATTACCATAGTGAAAAAAAGCTAATTATCTCAATACCACTTGGTTACTCACATCACGCAAATTGCAAAATAAACTAACAGAGGAAGAAAAGTGGAATATTCATGAGGCTTTAAATAAAATATTCATTGTGGCAATGGAAATGTATACATGTAAACAAAGTTGCAGATTTCTTAAAGGACCTATATATAACCTGTTCGGATGTCTAACAGGGATTCATTAGCACATCTTAATGTGACAAAGCAATTAGAACCAAAAAAATATGTACTTAGCATGTAACTCCAGATTAGAATTAGCAGAGCACTTTGTCCTACGTGACATGGCCTTTGCACATCACATTGTTCTTACCTTACATCCTTATGTGAGCACATTTCTATATAAAAGTAAGGGATGACTACTAATGGGAGTGTAGAGTGATAATGTGACCATATTGGGGCAACCTGGAGATGGACATCAGGTGCCATATCATTCACAACAGACTTGTCATATCATTCATCATGGAGTGTTTATAGAATAAGGTTGACAGAGCCTGTGTGTGCATGTGTGCGAAAAATGGCAGGATAAGTGTACATTTCTAACTGTTCGTTTTGTAAATTTGTTCCAATACTTGATAAACACAGTACACAATTGTATACACCATGCAATCTTTAGAAACACGTGTAGCAACACGAAATTGCAGTTAGCGTACAAGATTTGTCACACCTCCTGCAGTATCCATTATGTAAGAATCTAGGTTATGTAGGCTAAGATATGTAAACAGGGCACACAACTGTATGCAAACACATGCACTGCAAGTTTAGAAAGCACTGTAAAGAAATATCCTGGAAAAAAAAAAAAGAAAAAAAAAAAACTCACCGTGGAACCAATCTGACTTTGACCAAATTGAAACTATTGAGCTGTAACAATATCCAATTTGAGAAAAGCATATTGACAAAGGGATGTGAGATTAGTCATAGCAAACACTGCTAAAGCGGATTTGGCATTCTGGCTCGTCAAACAGCACTCACCTCATATGGATAAATTATTTACACAGAATATAAAGGACAAAAATGAACCATACATTTTATGAGGACACTGCTTTGAGGTTAATCATAAAAAACGCCTTATAGTTCATGTTTTGGGAGCAAATGTTCCTATTTACTGTTAAAAGGTAAACATACAATTCACAGCAGTTGCCAATATATATATATATGAGAGAGAGAGAGAGAGAGAGAGATATATCTCTATCTCTATATCTATATCTATATCTATATATATATAAAAAAATGCCCTTTCCCCGCCATGAGCCCCCTCACATCTTTGCAGGGAGGAGGCACAATCCCTGGTGATCCAGTGGTTCACTAGTAAGGTCTAGTGCAGACCTTACTAATCCATTAATTCAGCTGGCATACAGTGAAGATCATCAGAATGTCGGCCACTGACAAAAGCAGCTATGCGGTCTGCTGCTGACATCTGTCCGTGTAGCTGCTCCCGCAAGTCAGGAACACGGTCCGGGATCAAGATTCATTAAAATTTAAAGTGAGGCAAGACCGTAAAGCACTACAAGTTTATAGCACAATAGCAAGAGTTAGGGGAACATTTACTAGTTTTCCATTTGTAACATCTTCCTTATGGTTTATTGCTTCAATAAATCAGGGAACAAAGAATGGCAAACAATTCTTCCATCAGAGCCAAATCATACAGGAGGTGTGCTTTGACATTGTCCCTTTAAATGAAACCATGCTAAGGAAGGCTAACCATACACCTTTCATTTTCTCAAATCTACTCAATTTGAGTTATATGGTGCTGACAGGGCCACCTACAGTTCAAATCTTGGCAGGAACTGGACAAAATATAAGAGCAGTGTATAGCTAGCTTAAAGTGACCTTAAACCCTCAGATTTTGTAACATAAAACAATACTGTAATGTGCGCCTTACTGTAATCCATGGTTGTTTCCCTTCTCTTTGCTGTTCTTTCTTTTAAATTTGTATCTGTTCTCATGCTGGGCAGAACTTCTGTTTTGCAGCAGACTGCCTTGTCTCAGTAATGGATACACGGTGTCTGTGTGTAAGTTTGTATAGGCTTGTAACCTGAGCCAGCACTACAGGAAGAGGCCCCGAGCTGAAAAGGGAAGTTCTCCCCAAGCATGAGAAGACATGAGGATTTAAAAAGGAAGAGCAGCAAAGAGAAGGGAAACAACCATGGATTACAGTAAGGCACACATTACAGTATTGTTTTATGTTAAAAAATCTGAGGGTTTATTGTCACTAAGTATGGAGGCAAACTGGTAATGTAAATTTCTGGCAGCCATGCCCACTCAAAGGATTCAAAACTTTGGAGGGCCTGTTTGTATCATAGCATTGCATTACACACACACAGGATCCACGTGTTTAGCACACAGTAATGCATTGTCATTCATTCTCACAGATCCTGTGTGTTTAGAACCCAGATTCTGCTAGTAAGCCTAACACCACCTCTGACCTTCATGGATTGCATGCTTGTTCTAGGTCAGAGCTTTAGAATGATTAAAGCCAGAGTTATCCAGTCAACTAGCACTTTGAGGAAAATAATCAGGAATAGCAGCCTCCATAGTAGTCTCTATATAGGCGTCAATGGTCAACAACATATTTTAGATAATTTACAAAAATTCAGTCTATAAAATAATCACAGCCACATTTTAGTCATTCAGCACTAAAAATAAATTCCAATATATTACTACAAATGCAAGACAAGTAGATATTTAAAAAAATCAAAATATGTAGCAAACAAAAAATTTAATTTTTCCAGTGTATGAAGGTCAGAAAGGATAAATCCCATTTGCAATGGCAATAGCAGAAAAAAAACTAGACAATGTGACGCCCACAGTTACCTTTGGAAGAACTCCAGTTAAAAATGTTATTAACCATTGCAGTGGGGCTACCCTCCGCACAGCAAGGAATAAGCGCTCTACTCCCTGCTTCTGTGATCACTGGAGCACGGTCTTCTACTCTGCTGCACAGATGGACTGCTCCTCATCATGCACACAGTCTATGCACACAGTCTATGCACACAGTCTATGCACACAGTCTATGCACACAGTCTATAGAGGGTGCTAACACCAGGATCCTTAGACCTCTCCAACAGAGGGTGAGAGACTTTCTAGCCACTCGTCTAAGAATAAGCTGGCTCGGATGGTCTGGCGAGTATAACATTTTATTTTTAGCACCTAAACCCAAACAAGCACTTAACCCTTGCAGTGCTGGGGAAGCCCCACTCCAAGGGTTAATATTTTTTCCTGGAGTTCTACTTTAAAAGAGCACTGACGACTTGGTCCCTGGAATCTTTGCGGCCTTGAGGCATAGGCAGCATGTGGCTCTCCAAAAGCTGCACAACAAGTACTCACATACCTTGTCGGATAAATAGGTGCAAGACATGCACAGCGATCTTTTTCCAAAACAGCAGAAAAAGCTAGATGGGAAAAACTTGAACATAGAAACTTCTTTACAGTCTTAACACAGCGATAGGCTTAGGCCTCATGCAGCGTTTGCTGTGCTAAACACTATAGCAGATTATTGCCATGGTAAGGAAAATATTTTATAACTACTGCTCCACACACTGATCATTTCTTAGAACGTTAAATTGGCTTTTACCATGTCTCTGCTGCATGACTGAGAACAATAGTACTGCAGCTAGATGAATCTTTTGACCTATTCCAGGTGGGTGAGCATTCCCTCCATCATAAACTAATGTGAAAGTAACCTTGTAAGGCAAAAGGTAAAGAATAGTAATGAGGACTCCAGAGTATAATCCAGTTTGTACAATGCTAGTTACAGACCGCTACAAAACAAAAAATGCAAGATCTACCAAGTCTGGGAGCTACGCAAATCCAATTAATCACATTCTAATACATTCAAGAAAACCTTCAGTGTGGTACAGTCAAAGCCCCTGTTTAACATAATCAGACATAAATAATCGATACATACATAGTCATTAAAATAAAAAAAACATCTGTTCTAAGAGCAAGATCACTAGGTTAATACCATCAGTACATCAGTGAGAGATGCACTTACAGAAAAGGTTAAAAAGCTATAAAAAGAAATGATGCTCTGTATTTGTTCAAGGCTGTAAAGAAAAATCCCTCAGAAATAGATCCCTGTAGAATATAAAGGATTTTGTATATCTGCTTTCCTGTGCTTTGACATGGCCTTTTATTGACTAACAATGTCTCCCTAATTAAACCTCAGTTATCTGTGAAACAGTGCCATCTTTTGGCCCTGACCCTAGGCCACAGACAGTAAAAAGGCAGGTAACATATTTCAAGCCAACCTCTTCACTATAATCATTTACTATACAAAAACAAATAAATAAAAATTAATGAATAACAATCAGTAGTGAATATAAACGCAGCTAGTCAGCCAGAAAACCTAATTGTATTCAGTTTCTAACATTTAGCCTAAAAACAAAGGCTTTTGTTGCATATATTACGAACACATGTAACGCCACACTGCCACACTAGGACATCCCTACAATAGTCCTAACTCTAAACTTTACAAGCTCCCAAACTGGGACCTTAGTGCTAGCCCCATCAAACTTAAAGTACAGCAAGACATCAGACATCCAGACTCACAAAAGGCAGTTGAAGTGCCCACTGTGTGTCTGCAATGTGGTATTCTGTTGTGTCTGTAAAGAGGATTGAAATACCTCCAAGGCAAGTCTTCTCGTGTGTGTCTGTCTCTCTCTCTCTCTGTGTATATGCCAGTTTGTTTGCTTATATAGTTTAGAGTGCATTAGTATCTTGGGGTGGCAAACCAGAAAAACATATTTTTAAGTCAAAACAACCAACTACAAAGAAAATATAGTGATAACTTAATGCTCTTCTAACAACCCGAGTACAAATGCAATGCTACAGAGCAGAAAAAGGATCCCGCTACACAGAACATAAGAAAGTATCGCATATCTTTACAAATGTCTGTGAACCTGATGTGCACTTTTAAGCATCTCTGGGTTTGCAAACAAATGACACCAAGTACTGAAAGTCTCCACTTACACTAGAGAAACGATGTCCCCGCGCTGAACTTCATAATTTCGTATTCTCCATCGGTTCAACAGCACTACATCTGATTCATTTCTTCCGCCTGGATTCAGCGAAGGCTAAAAATGAAAGACGACAGCTTTATGTAAAAATATTTCCCTGATGTCTTTCTTACTCGCTTCTCAATCTATTGTACACATAAATGATGAGGGAACAAGCATGTATTGTCAACAAGAAGCATCACCAAGTGTGAAAAGAAAGTACATTGGTTTCCAATAGAGAGAATCCTACAGAGACTATAAAGCTTGAAGAATGAATTCAATAATTCGTACTCATGCTGACCTAAAACAAGTCTTTTGGAAAACAGTACTAGAAAACCATATTTGCCTTCCTAACGCTACCATGAAAACATGGCATCAATAGCAAGCATAAAGACAACTGTTTTAGAGAATAAGCATTTTGTAAAGGCAACAGTCTGACATGCTTACATTTTGAGGGACTGTAAACCTAACCATCACTATACTCATTCATGCTAAGCAGGTACTAATTAGATGTGCTATTTAGCATAGCTGTATTCATTGACAGCTTCTCCTTCGGGACTCAGACCTAATATAGAGCAAGCGCTTGTTGGGTGCAAGTGGGAGAAGGCCAAGTGCCCATCTCTGCACACAGTGTTGCAATGTGTACTTGCCTGAGCTACACCCTTTCCTCCCACCTGTTACTGGTTAAGGATGCTGATGTCCACCCAGCCTCCTTGCATCCAATGATACTGACAGTGGGCAGAGCTTGATGGAGATGCAGAAAGACTAGTTCCTCATCAGGCAGTGTGTGGATTATATAGCCCAGGGGTAGGCAACCAAGGCTCTACAGCTGTGCTGAAATTACAAATCCCATAAGGCATTGCAAGCCACAGGCATGACTCCCAGAGGCAGAAGCATGATGGGATTTGTAGTTTCAGCACAGCTGTAGAGCCAAGGTTGCCTACCACTGATTTAGCCAATATCAAGTAGTCTATTGCTTATGGAATCCACCCACTGCCTGCATACCTGATGGGGTACGTTTAGCTTTGCCATCAGGCTTCGTCCAACCACTGTATAATCTTTTCAGCATTTGAAGTCATACTTAGCCTTTAACATTAGGAGACTTTACATGAACACACCACATGTCATATAGGTGGGAAAAAAAGTGGGGTAGCTTTAGTGGCTGCTGCCAAAGCCTTTGACTCTGTTGAGTGGATATACCTATGAGTTATGTACTTGAGAAGTCTAGATTTTTTTAACCAAATATCAGAATAAGTACAGTTATTAAACCAAGACAGTGGCCTGTGTATATTAATGGGGAAACTTCAGATACATTTCCCCTCCGAGGGAACTACATAAAGATGTATATTATTCCTGCCGGTGTTTGCTTTGTTTATCAAGCCTCTAGTGGTAATACCCTTGGTTTATGCTCATTCTTTCAGGTCTTGGGGGTTAAATTCTTAAGATCCTTATCAAACTATGTTTTTCCCCCTCAAACCTTGCATCACAGAGAACATGAGTTGGTATAAGGCATAAGGCAGAAAGATCCCCACCCCTCTAGCTGAAGTCAAAGCTAAGGGTCCCCACACACCTTACGATTATCGTACGATAATCGCGGGAAATCCCGCGATCGTACGATGATCGTAAGGTGTGTGGAAGCCGTGCGACCTCTACTACTGTAAGGTCGCATGACTTTAAACTTACGGACATGTTCGAAAACCCGCCGAGCATCGTACGATGTTCGGCGGGTTTGTGGCATGTCCGTACGATAACAGCCGTACGGGCCAGTGTGCGCAAGCGCACACTGCCCGTTCGGCATTGCGGTCATCGCAAGTACGATCTGCCTATGCAACATAGGCAGATCGTACGTTTTTTAAAGTACCTTACAACCATTGCATGACAAAAGTCTTGCGATGGTTGTAAAGGTGTGTGCCCAGCCTAACAAAAAAATAAGCCATCTTCAAGGACAACCATTTAACAGCAATACTTTCAATGGGCTCAAAAAGATCCTCTAAGGAATAGAAAGACAGCCCAAGGAGGAAAAATCTTCTGTAATGGAGTAGAACGTTCAATAGCCCGGCAAAACGCTTGACTAATGGACCTTCGGGCCAATGTCCAAAAAGCAGAAAGAGGGGAAATTTTAACTTTTAACGTGTTAATGGGACAATTTATTTCCCACACCATCCTGGAGGAAAATCAAAATAAGTAATCGACGGCATATAAATCTTCTTCTAAATACACCATAAGGAGAAAACCTTACAAACGTTACTGTAAATCTTGCTATTGACCCACTTCCTGCTAGAAAGGAAGGCCTCAACCTAAACAGCCTTTCCTTTCTAGGATTCTCCTTTCAATATCCAAGCCATCAAATGAAAAAAATTGGATTGGAATGCACAACTGGACAGAGAAAGAAGATCCGGTCAAAAGGGGCAGGGGACCAGGGAGGCTGAATCAACTTTCTTTAAAGTTGTAACTACATCCTCCTGGGCCACCATGGAGCAATCAAAATTAGTCTGCAACCCAAAAGACTTAACTTCTGCATCACTCAAGGAAGGGAGAGGGGAGAATGTAAATCCTGGGGGGAAAAAAAAAAAAATCACATGTCTGAGATAGGGCATCTATACCCCTGGAGTCTCTTTCTCTCGAGGAAAGAAGGCGGCCTTCTCCTGTTTGTTCTCATCACAAACAATTTCAGATCCAGTAACCCAAATTGGCTGACTATCTGGAAAAAAAAAACCTCTGGACGATTCCCGCAAACCCAGCCTAAAAGGCCTATTGTGCAGTTTTATGGACACATTGCACTACAAACGCTATACAGGAGAGCATTGTTGGTGTACTGCTTAGAGACTAAAACTAACATCCCAAAACTGCAAGACAAACTGCCAACCACTACACTGACTTTCTAAACTATTAAGGCATCCCTCCCAACTTTCTAAGAGGGGCACCTTCCTGCATTTTTTAGGTAATTGACACACCCCAGCCACACAACCAGATAGTTGGACCATTAAGAATTTTGTAAGTATATGGCAAGGATCTTTGCATGCTGTCTCACACAGTCATTATAGTATATACAGGTGGCATTACAGAGCCCACTGTATATAGGGAATCTGCATTGTCTGTGGTTATTGATTGCTTCTATTGTGATAATCTGCATTACCTGCGGAAATTGATTTGCACTGACTGGCATAACCTGTGTAGTCTGTAGTGATTCATTACAAGTACTGTATAATCTGCCTTGTGGGGGGTAATTAATTATCTTCATTACCTGTGGTAACTGATTGCAACACCTGGGATAATAATCTGTATAGGTCATAGTAATTCATTCCACTTACTGGATAATCAGCATTGTGTTTTCTAACTGCACTTACTGGATAATTAGTTATCAGTGTTACCCAGGGAAATTCATTGGAAGTACTGTAATATTCTGTGATTATACTGCAATGGATTATTATTCTGTGATTATCGTGATCCTGGTAAATTGTGATTATTGGGACAATCTGCAATAGAGGTCAGTGATAAATTAATTGTGTCCCTGTGAGATATCAGTGGTGGGGTAACGAAAACCAAAACATAGAACAGGCCCACAAATAAAAAATAGAATTTGAAGTTCCCATAAATCATTAACATTACCTCCATGGGACTGAATGCAACCCAGTGCACATCATGCTCAATGTATGTGTTTCTGGAACATCCGCTCGGGGCGAGTACGGTTGTGCAAAAAATTAAGCGAGTGGTTACTCTGGAAGCCCAGATTCTGGATCTAGAGAACTGACTGGTAACAATGAGGAGCATTAACAACATGAGTTTAGACCTCACAGAACAGGTGCTGGCCGGGGCCAACATAGAGAAGGTTGGTAACAGAGGAGCAGGACCCAGAGGTGGTAGCTGGGTAATTGTCAGAAGGCAGGGTAGAGGAAATAATGTTAGAGAGACTAGTCCTGAGCTGTTGCACCCCAAAAAATATGCCCGCCTGCATGATGTTGGGGATAACAGCTCAGGAGTAGCATTGCTGGAGCAGAATACCTCCCCTAGCTACCAAGGGAGTGACTGTTCCAGTATAGAAGGGAGAAGGGGTACAAGCAAGGATGGACAGATCATGGTGGTAGGGGATTCTATTATCAGTCGAACGGACAGGGTAATCTGTCACAAAGCCCACGATCGTACAGTATGTTGCTTACTGGGTGCTCGGGTTTGGCATTTTGGCATATTGCAGATCAGATGGACAGATAATTGGGGGAGGGGGGGGGGTATACCAATGACAAAGTTAGGGGAAGATGGAAAACCTAAGCAAAAGCCGAAAACCTGAAGTGCATGTTCAACAATGCTAGAAGACTGACAAACAAAATAAAGGAATTAGAACTTATACTGCTCAATGAGGAATATGACCTAGTGGGAATATCAGAAACATGGCTTGATGGCACACATGACTGGGGGGAAACCATTAATGGTTATTCTTCTTAAGAAGGGATAGGGAAGGAAAAGGAGGGGGTGGGGAGTATGCCTGTATGACAGGAATGCCCCGACAGTGAATGTGAGGGATGATATTGCACATGAAAACAGGGACAAAGCTGAGTTACTATGGATAGCAATGGAAAACATGAGTTGATTACCTGATAACTCTGTTTCCAGGAATCTTCCAGGACAGCCCATGAGATAAGGCTCCGCCTGCCTGCAACAGGAAACACATCAACCACATTTAAATAAATAGACCCCTCCTTCCATCCCAATTCAGTACCCTCTAGAACCGAAGGCTACCAAACATTTCAAAGTATCCCCTCTAACATCAATACCGATGTCCCCTGGCTACCAACCAAGGGCGGGAATCTGCTGTCCTGGAAGATTCCTGGAAACAGAGTTATCAGGTAATCAACTCATGTTTTCCCCAGTCATCTTCCAGGACAGCCCATGAGAGGATCAGTGAGGACAAATCTTACCTCCTATGGTGGGACCACAGCTTGCAGGACCTTCCTGCCAAATGCCTGGTCTTGTTGGGTCATGAGATCCAGTCTGTAATGCCTAACGAAGGTCTGGAAACTGGACCACGTGGCTGCTCTACAGATCTGGTCGGGAGCAGCCCCTGCCCGCTCTGCCCATGAAGT